TGATGCCATCTACGCCCACTGCTTCTTCATGAAAGCCTGAATTTCCATTTCCATATGCATTGCCTCATTCCTCGTTCCTCTTTCTCTGCATCTGTGCACTTTCATTTTCATTTACAAGCGAGTTAGTTGTGTGGGAGTGTTTGCGTGGAAGTGTTCCATGTGCAGGGAGTTCATGAAGCTGCTCTCCCTCCCCCACCCACCAACAGCGCTCAGCAACGGCCTCATCACTCGGCTATCAATAAAACAACAGTAAAAGAAGAGATTATTTTAAGCCGTAGTAATCATGGAAACGTTGCAATGAATCTGCTGTTAAGTGTTTCTTTTGTCATGAATCAGAAGAAGAAAAAAATAGTTGAACATTGGCTTTGACGTGCTACATTGTGTGATACTTTTCAAGGTTTTCTATTTTTATTTAGCTGTAGAATGTGTACGATTTAAGTAGATTTTAAAATATAATTCTAAACTTTTGCAAACCATATATCTTCACACCATCCTATTTTCTTGATTTGGTTGTAGTACATGTAATTAGACAACGTAAATCTCTTTAAAAATATAAATACTTAAAGATGTTTTCTTATTTTATATATATATATATATATATATATATATATATAATCAAATATAAAAGGTAAAATAGTCTAAAATACTATTATAAAGGTTTTTTAAAATTTTCAATTATCACGTAATTTCTTAAAAGATATACAAAAAATAACTTGAAGAAAAATAAAAGATTAATTTTGGCAATAAATCTACGACATAATCATTTTGGAAGAGGACTTTAAATAATGTCCAATATTTTGTTCCAAATACTTGTATTGAATTATTATTATGTTTTTTAATAAAAAAATAAAGTAAGTACTTTAGTATAAAATGTGCATTATCTTTTAGATTTTATTGAACATAAAGTTGTACAAAATAAAAATCAGTTATTCCGTATATTGTGCTCTATTTTTTCTTTTTATTATACACATGATATAAACACATGAATCATTACAATAAAATAAAAATTACATTAAAATCTTAAGTAGATAATTTTAAAATATATACAAATTTATAAAAATATAAAAATAAACTTATAATATTAAAAAATAAAAAAATTGTGTTCTAATAAATTATAATGCAAGATTATCACCATTATAATTAATCAAATTATTATTCAGATCTTAAAAATTGTGTCTTAAATTGTTTTCTAAACTTTTTGGAATATTTAGATAAATTTTAAACTGCTATAATATATTTTTTAATCTTTAAATTTTATTTAATTTAAATATATATCTAGTATTTTATTATTTCTAAAATAACAAATATCTTTTGATTGATAATATTTGCACACAATTAAAAAAATCTTTAATATTTTTTGTTTATGATATTTTAATCATATTTATAAATATATAAATCTGTATATATATATATATATATATATACAATTGACTGGCCTAAGTTTGATTGGAGCATCAAAAAATCCCATTGGTTAGAGCAATAGGGTTATAAAACTATGTTACAAGTTTAACCTAGTTACCATAAAGTTATACAATTACTAGGATCAGAGGATGGAAAGGGCTGGGCTAGCGGTGGAGTCAATAGTGGCAACAATGCAAATAAATCCTATCCACACCTAGCTAATGTGGCACCATATTTTTTGTTTTAATTGCAGTATGACGCACTGATTGACTGCCGAGGTTTTTGGTAGCCAAATCAATGCCAATCAAAATTGTATCCTTTAATTTTATTTTTTCGATTGGCTACCAAAAACATACTCAACAATAGCAAATCCAATAGGTTTAATTACTACTATATATATATATATATATATATAAATTGGTCTTCTCATCTTTCAATAGTATATGAATGCTGATGGAAAATGTAATTTTTTTAAAAAGTTGTCAAATTTCTAAACTATCAGTTAAGCATATTACATTTGTATTGATTGATTTTAATCTTAGCATCTATAATTAATCTTATAATAAATTAAAACATCCAAAACTACAATACAATGAATATCAAGTTAGAATTACTATTATGATTTCAATTTGAGTTTGAAACATTTAGTATTGTAAAAAAAAATCTATATTAGTATTTTGAATGAAGTAACTTAAATTATGTTTGTGAAAATTATATAAGTCAAATTTTAATACTATATATATATATATATATATATATATATATATATATATATATATTATAATATATATCATAAACAAAAAATATTAAAGTAAATATTAAAATTTTAATACAATATATATATATATAAGTCAAATTTTAATACAACATATATAGATAAAATTAATCTGGAATATTTTCAGACAATTTTGAGACTCCGGATTTTTAATTGATTTTTACTATAAAACCTTAAGGAATCAATTATTTTAATAAAATATTATGTTTAATTTTTCAAAATTAATATTTTAATTGTAAAAATATAAATAAAGAAATAATATATATATACTATTATTTATTTATTTAGTTATTGATATATATTTACATAGAGTTAAGTAAAGATCTATCTTTTAGAGCATGTAAATAATATGTTAAAAGTATAAAGAATACATATGGATTTCTAATTATATAATGTTTTTTTGAAATATGTTTTTGAAAACTTTATTTATTGCCTCTAATGTATATTTATTAATGAAATCATTTAGAATTTTTTTAAAATACATGATAATAAGAATAATATTTTTGATTCTATGATTATTTGAATAAGTAATTTTATTAAATTTTAAAGATATAAATTAAAATTAATCTTAATGCAACAAGCTATGGATGCTATTTGAGGTTATAAATATATATATATATACACTTAAAAGACGAAAATCTAAAATTTCAAGATTGGTTATCATATAAAATATTTTATTTTATTAATATTAAGACAAAAAAATTAATAAAAAAATATAAATATTTTTTAATAATTTTTTGTAAGAAACATATTTTTAAAGAAAATATTTTGAAAAACATAATAAATCTTTGAAAAGATACTAATATAAAAATTTATTCTCCAAAGATATAATAGAATATTAAACTCAATTTTTTAAATTTAATAAATTTAATAATATATCTTAAATTATAAATTAAATATATTTATTTTAAATAATTGTACGAAATTTTACTTTAAATTTTTTTATATCAAAATAAAATCACAAGTTTTAAAAATTTTAATGAAGTTTTTGTACAAATACAAGTTCCAAATATCCAATGTATCTTGATGCAAATTTGACATCTAAAATAACATAATAATATGATATTTGTATTAAATTTAAAATTTTTGCAACTACATATGCTTAATTTTTTTTAAATGTAAAGCTTGACTCCTATAAATAATACTTCTATTTTTTGCTTTAATTAGCACATAATTTAATATAATTATATTTATTTTTATATAATTAAAAAATTACAAGGTATCTTAAAGGATTGATTAATAGTTGATTTTCTAGATTCGTTATTATTTCATAATCTTTTGAAGTATTCTATACAATACTATGCTTTGATTTATTAAATATTATTGATTATTAATATATTTCAAACAAATTGGACTAAAAATAATTATAACTCTTCAATATAAAATTAATATATAAATATAAAAATAATGATAATTACTTATCTAAAATTCTAATCTAATATATTCATCTTTTAAATAACAAAAAACTTTAGAATATAAATATGTATTAAATAACCAAATTATATTCTAAATATACTATGAGACTAAAAATTATTTTATGTATGATATTATTATGTATGTAATATATTACATACATAATAATAATTTTAATTCTATATTTATATATTATGTATGTAATATATTTAATTATTATGTATGTAATATATTTAATTATTATGTATGTAATATAGGATTAATATATAGAACTAATCATATATTACATACATAATAATTAAATATATAAACTAAATATTATTATGTATGTATTATAGGATTAGTTCTATATTAAAATATAACTTTATATTTAAATTATTTTTGATTTTATGATTTTTTTTTTAAAAAATTTAAGAATTTCAAAAACATTAAACTTAAATCTTTGAAAATATTTTTTTTCAATTTATACTTCGAACAAAAGAAATACATAAATTATAATGTATTATTGATATTCCTCTTGTTATGCACATTCTTTTATATTTTATATATTCTAATCTTTTATTGCACAATTCTTTTGTCTAATCTATTTCTTTCTATATTTCTATCACATTCTGGCTTCTCTAAAAAAATTACTTATATTACAATTTATTTTGAAATTATATTAATTTTTTTAGTATTCCAATATTAAAAACATATTAAAAAATGTTTTATATTTTTTTTGTTAAAAAAAATTTACTTGTATAATTTTCTAAATATTCTAAATATTAATACTGTTCTATGTTTAGAAAAGACGTATCTATATAGAATATATAAAATATATATTCTATATTTAAATTAAATATATTTAATTTATAAATATTCTATATATATTCTAAATATTAAGAATATTCTATATTTTTAATATTCTAATATTAAAAAAATTGTAAAAATATATTTTTTTTTTTTTTTTACATTTTGTTAATTGTAGTAGTACTAGTGTGGTCCTCCATCCGGGTGCACCACCACACCACTATCTCTCTCTCTCTTGGAGGGGTGGCGGTGGTGCGGAGAATCGGGGGCCTTGGAAGAGACAGAGGCAGAGAGAGAGAGAGACGTGTGCATGTGTATGTGAGAGCGAGACGCGTCGGATCAGGCGTCCACCAGGTGGGGGGGGGGGCCAGGGGGACCGGGGGCACACAAAATCGAATGATGCTATGCCCCTCGGGGGGGGGTGCGGCCTAAGCATCATTCCGCCTCATCATCTGCCGCCTCTCAAAAATCAATCAATCCCCCTACACCGCTGCACAATCCTCCCCTGGTCATCGCCCCCCACCCCACCCCGCCAATCCTCTATTTACCCCCCCCCCCCCCCAAGCAAGTCAATGGCACTTCTCTCGAACCTCCTCCCTCTGCTATTTCTCCACTTTACCTGACTTGGAGATGTTCTACTCGAAGGTTGAATGCATGAATGGAAGGCTGGCAGTAAAATTCATCAAGTTGCAATCGGGAAACACCTGAGGGGTGGGTCAGACTGGGAGGGTTCAGGTTCTCCTGTATAAAAGGTTAGACGCACCAGGCATTTCCATCACATTCGACGTCGAGAATTCCATTGGCATTGTCCTGCAGGTGAGCGTTGTTATCTATCAACTCACATACCACCTGTTCGGTCAACTGTTTTTCTTCTTCTTCTTCTTCTTAAGTGATGCACTGAGTCATGATGCATCTCCCTCAACTCCTGCAGCTAAGTGTAATTACGCCTAGCTATGGAATGAACCACTCCTTTTGTCTGTAGTTTCATGCATAGATTGTCTTAACATTAACTGAAGGGTGTGTAATTCTGACGGGGCTTTTGTGATGTGTGTGTGTCTATTATTAGCCCATTCGTATTCGTTCAGTACCATCTTGCTCAAGTCAGGTAAGATAATTACTTTGCGCTTGTACTGCCATGCTTCAGGATTGTGTCTTGACTCTAAATCAGCACACATTTAGTAGCTTTAATTTATATTTTAAAACACAAGATCTCAATTCATGCTTAGATTGATTGGAAATCCATTCGTGGTGACTGCAATTAGACTGGCTTCGAGGTGAAAGCACGAGTGGAGATATCCAATAATAAAAACTTACTTTTCATGTTTCAGCTTCAGCCATTCGCAACTATCAATGGCCAAGAACAACGGCAAGTGCGGTGCTGACTGCGACTGCGCAGCAGGAACCTGCGCCAACGAGAACGGAGGAAAGTGCGGTGACTGTGATTGCCCCGCAGGTAGGGTGTTTGTGTGTCTACAGAGTGAGAGGAAGGCAGAGATCCACATTCACGAAACGTTATTCTGCCTTGAAATCTAGTTTAGCTGTAAGATGAATACATAATACTCAAATTTTTCATTCACAATGTATCTCTGGGAGTGGTGTTCGCGACTGTAATCTCTGTAATACCTCTGACTGAGTGATGGCCTTCACTATTGAAGCTGACATAAGCTAGCCATAGCGTACAATCTGCATACATTTAGAGTGATTACATCGATACTGTTCGCACCAACATTGCTGCAAGTAACGAGTTGTGACTGGCACGACGATGTCAGGAACTTGCGCAAAGGAGAACGGTGGAAAGTGCGGAGACTGCGACTGCGCCGCCGGCACCTGCGCTAAGGAATAGACTGATGTCTGTCATGAAGTCGCGACGTTGGGTCGGGGTCAATATACAGTGGGTGTACTCGCGATAGTGCATGACTCTTGGAATATGAGATAGTTTGACTTATCAATCATACAGATAATATCAGCCTGGCTGTACTTGCCATGAATAATACGGTGCCTTAGCAGACGCACCCTGAATTGAAGCATAGCAGTCGGTGCGTGCATCGAATCTGAGATCAATCAAAGTGATGAACTGGGGAGTTTGGATGATCTATCGATCAACCACATGCCGTTCTGAAGTACTCCCCAGTTCTGCACACAATGAATATCTTTTAGTCTTTGGTATACTCATCTATTCCTGGTTCATTGATCGAGGATTAGGGTTGAACTTGTTCATGTGATATGCACCATAAACATATGACACCGCGTTCTGAAAAATATAGCTGCGTGCGAGAAAGCGTTATAAACAACATGAGCACAAACAATTATTCTTAACCATCGCAGACTAATGGAAAAACACGTCTGGCTCATTGGAGTGTATCGTCCTTGTATGTGCAAATAGATCGCAATTGTTGACTGATATGCCCTGCTTGTTGAGTGTCGAACTCCGATTAGATTCTTGGAATGTTGCACAAGTATGATACAATAGTGGAACACGATCGTGGCCGACCGATTTTTGGGCTCTGGCAACTGGAGCATTGGCACTGTTGCTGCTGCTTCGCCCAATTTTTCTCACAGATGCTAGGGCTTTCAGCGAGGGGCTTGTGAAAATCATTGGTATTGGAACACTGATAAGCGTATTCACATTAGGAACAACATCCGCTATTGAGTGAAGCGGTCACTGTAGCAAAACTCCCACATCATCACAAGTGTCTTTTCCTTCACAGGTGTTTACCAAAGTGTGGAGCATGGATTGCAATCCTATTCCTGCGGAGATTTCTATGGAAATTCGCATTATGAAAAACACTATATGGTAGCACGTTTACCCGATTAGATGAGTCATGTAAGCAAAGATCACGTCAACCAAACCCAGAAACCAAGACTGCTATACATATATTCGATTGATGATTCCAGTTCATGATTCCGTTGATAAATGCACTGTACATAGTATCCCCTCACTACTGAAAGGTACACTGTTTTCTTTGTTACTGTTAAGATGAGCTTGACTAAAGCTGACTCGAGGCTTCCCATCTTTTCACAACAAGAATCTTCTCAATTGCTTCAAGAAATTGCACCACGCCTGACCTCTGAGACTCAGGACTTGTATTTGCAAGGTCCTGCAAAAGACACCATCCAGGACACGTCAAGCAACCATCATGCAAGGATACAAGGAAAAGCTTCAAAAACTAGAGTAGAATCTAATGAACCTCCTCCAAACACAGCAAGATCAGCAGATATATCTTTCATCATATGTGACTAGGTAGATCCCAGGTCATTGTAGACTAAGAAAATATAATGTGAAGTGAGTAAATGGCAGAGTTCGAATTATTAACTACGGCAGAGATGAGGATTAACATTTCTCAGTTGAAAACGATACCCAAGTCAGACAGATGTCACGTAAGTCAACGAATTCGTTGTATAAGTCAAGTCATTCAGGAAGTTGGTTTCAAAACGCAAGAGAGCTGGATTAAAATAGAACTGTTCTTGTAAGCGTAGAGGGTTTACCACACACTGTTGAAGCATGTCTACAGATCCCAAGTAATGTGCCTTGGCAGAGGGAACAAGAGAGTTCAAGCGAAGGGCGAAACCAGGCATGGGCCATCCATAAGGAGCTTCTATATTCGCTGTGACGGGTCCCGGAAGAGTGGCAACAATAAGATTTGCTTCCGGCGAATATTTGAGCTTGTACCTGGTCAAAGCCCAATACAGAACGTCACCCTTGGAGGATACAGATTCTCCAAAAACAAAAACTTGTATTCAAGTAAACAAACTGCAGAATATGCAGAAGATCAGGGTTCTATGCATGGCACATGTTGATATAGAACATTCCTAGACATCATAACGAGCGATTCAGCTTCACCAATAAAATGACCTCCTTGACAACTTGTAAGCAGTATCACGAAATACATAATCCGTCCGTACATGCAACTTAGTACGGCCATGGTGCAGTACATGCAAATTACCTGGGATCCTTGGCAGATACTGTAAGTGATGCACTCTTCAGAACATTGGCATAAATACGATGACGAATTCTACTGATCAGACTGGGAATCTGTCTGCTCCATCCTTCTCCGTTAACCAATAATGGCGCCTCATGAAGGGCACTGCACCGAGCACAGACGAACAAACAGTAAGCTTCATAGTTGATTGAGTCAGTACCGATCCACAAAACAAGCGTATCTTCAAGGGAATCATACAGCAACTTCAAGAGAAAGACGTAAAGTTGGAGAACGTGAGGAAAAAACTTTACGTCATCGCCTTGGCTTCCGCTACAAGGTCCTCATAAGGTATGTCTTCTGGAATGAGCTGTGCAACCACATTTAAGTTGATCAATAACCAGTTTTTTCCTGCCTGGAGCTGAAAGATCTTGATTGGAGAAGTGCGATACTAGGATCGAAGTGGCAAAGATCTCAGGAATGCCCAGTCTAAGCGTGCTCTTTATGGAAATATCCCAATGAACATTAAACGTTTGCAATAAAAATTTACCATTTGCAGGTGAAAATACCTGCACTGCTTCAATAGTCATTGCGGCCGTGTCCAATGCGATAGTCAGATCATGCTCGTACTTGCCGCGGTGGTTCGGACTTACGGCTTGCATGGTGGGTACATAAGTTGTTATCCGCATCTCCAAAAAGTTGTGACTTACACTGAGTATCTCTATTCCAGAGGCCCTTTCCAATTCGGATTCCATGTCGTGGAGCCTACGCAAGAGTGCAAGACTCAATGTAATTCCAATATTTTTTAGGTAGTGCACTAAACATCAAACTCGGTCTCGTACACTGCGATAACTCTATGCAGACGAGAATACCCAATTAAATGGGTGCGACTGACGAGCACCAGAATTACGCACATGTCACTCTCGTTGACGAGCACTTCTAACCTCTCAATCTCTTCCACCTGGCGCTCGATTTGCTCTTCCATCTCCATGATCTGGCACACAATCCACCTAAGTCTAAATCTCCATGAAAATGAATCCGGGAAACAAAACTGGTCGCAGAAGACATCCGATAATGCACAAACGTTATGAAGTTCGTACTTGAATATCCATGCTGACTTACACTTGAGCTACCATTGCAGAACGATTCAGTGGAACTTTAAAACCTCAAATAAGAGAAACTCATAATGCCATCGCACCTTGCTTACGGTGTTATCAAGATTTGCTTGAAGCAAATAGGGATCACCCGCTGAAGCACCCACATCTGCCATTGTCGGATCACACGTCTCGTTTCCTCTCCGGGTCTACAAAAACAATAATCTCACACACTCCATCGGTGCTTCCTTACGGCTACAACACACTCCATCGGTGCTTCCTTACGGCTACAACACACTCCATGACATAAAAATTTCATCAAACGAGATTTACCAGTGCAGGTATGCGTGAGTTAATCACAATGAGGCTACGGCAGAAGTCTTGAGATGCCGTGGTGGTGGTGAGATTGGCGCTGAGATTGCACCACCGCCATAGCCAAGTCTAGAGCCTCGTGGCGGGAGAAAACCTAGTAACGACTCCGACTCGAAATTTGAACTTATTGGATGAAACAATAAAGATGAATGTGTCGCATGAATAAGTTGCTGTTGTGGATGAAACGGTTTGCAATAGTTTAAAGCATGCCGTTAACTTTGAGTGTGAATTTTGCGGTGTTGAAAAAGTAAACGTTTTAGTTGCAAGACAAGTTCTAATCAGATCCAACATTACCTGAATTAAGGAAAAAGAAGCACGAGTTTTTGTATGAATTTTTTTATGTGTTTTTGGAATAAATATAAAATTGGTTCGTTACTAAATATGGTTTGAATTTAATAAATATTCATTAACTTGATTGGTAGAAAGGATTTTTAATGGTAGGATTATCTTGGCAGGAATTATACTGTGAAAGTGCTCTTGTAACAACTTGTATTTGTAGTTGCAATGTTATTTGATGTAAACATACCCAAATAATTATATAAAATGCTTTTTCAGGTTTAAAGAGATAAAAAAAATAAAATAAAAACCAAAAACCAAAACAGCATTTATTTGGCTATTTTTTAATTTCTTATAAATAGATGTCACACTGAGAAAATCAAATAGATCTCACATTGACACTTATAACTTGTGGTGGTTTAGTTGAGTCTAATACAAGATATTGTTGTTTATATCTTTTAAGATTCAAAATTATAAAAAAGCTCTTTTAGAAAAAACTTGAACAAGAAGACATAAGTTATCAACAAGAGCAGTCACTAGGAATAGCAATGCTATTAGACTCTTTTTAGAATGGCATTGTCAAGAGTGATACTACTAATAACAATAGTAAATTTTTTTGTACATAGTTTAAAGTTAATAGATTTCAAAAAATATTTTTTTAATAAAATTTATTTTAATTTGGTAAAATTAAGTATAATAAAAATTACAATTTAATCCTACAGAACAAGATAAATCAAAAATGAATTTTTTTAAGACTTAAAATGTAAAACTTTAATAATACGTAACACATTAGAATTAAAAATAAAAAAATAAAAAAATGATGTGCGTCTATTATTGAATACATTATAATTTAAGAATAGTTACCATGTGACTTAACAAGGTTCATATATGTTTATACATAGAAATCATTTTTAAAGAAATACCTAATGATATTTTTGTTATACTATTCAATTTCTGTTAAGAATAAAGGAGGTTGTTTAAATTTGTAGTAATAAAATAAGAAAAAACAATTAAACATGATAAAAGAAGTTTGCATGATACAAATTTAAAAATATTCAAATGAAATTACCAATCCCTATGTAAGTCTTGTGACTTAGGGATGGTGAACGGAGCGTCGGGCACAGAGGAGCGGTGATAGATGATGGGTCCAGCGAGATAGATGTCTGTCCCATGACTGGGACTCCCCAACGGTATCCCTCCCCCATTGCGACTGGGACTCAGGCAACCATTTGTTTGTTGGCCTCGCCATCGCAATCCCATGCCCTGCCCTGCCCTGCTGTGCCCTCTCTCAGTTTTGTTTCCCGGATTCATTTTCATGGAGCAGTGCCTCGATTCCTCTTCGCGGGGGACAATTGCTGCTGCAGTTGCTTCTTAATCAGCGGAAACGGAGTGCGTTTCTTTTTACGGTTGCCGCAGCTCGTGGGAAATTGTTCCGGTCTGAAGGACTCATGTCTGAGGGATTCTGGCTGAATTAGGGCACGGCAAGGTCATAATCAGCTAAGGACCTACACAATCTGCTCGTCAGCTCATCTGTGTAGACCAGGCATAAGTAGACAGCATTTACGCTTTTATCTGTGATATCTAGGAACCTATAGCGCGGTTGTGGTGGAGTTTAGCCTTAAGTCTGAGGCTTGAATGTGATTATCTGCTTACGCCGACGGCTGCACCATGCGAGCCGTGGTAGCCTGGACAGACCATGTGGTACGCATAATCTTTCACTTGTCTTTTTCTTTTGTGTGCGATTATGAGTGAACGAAATCCTATAATTTTTGGTAATTCAACTAGGTCACTCTCATCCGTTGCCTCGCCTGTCGTCATAGCTCATGATTGTGGAGGATATTCGTTTAAGCAGACTGAAGCAAATTATTGGTTGATACAATGCAGCCAGAGCACGATGGAGTCAGGAGTGTGTGTTTCGACATTGCCTTTCGACCTGGTACTCCATCTGTAATCTGTCCCTCGAATTTTGAAGAAAATAATGGATTAAATTTTGACTGATATTGCTATGACTTGAAATCATTGCAACAGTCGGTAGTTATAATTGAAGCCATTCTGTTGCAGATGGGAGTCAGTTTATTGCAGCAGTTGGCAGCAGAGTGCTTATGTATGATGCTGCTGATGGTGATCTCCTTCACTCACTCAAAGGTATCATTTATCTCCCCCATCGTTCCTTCTGCCACTTGTTTGATCTCATTTTTGTTTTATTTTTTATTTTTTATTTTTTTTTTTTTTTTGTTTGTTTTTTTTTTTTTGGTTAACTATGTCATCGGAGCTTGTCCCTTTTTCGTTTATAATTTTGTTATTTAGTGCAGGTCATAAAGATGATGTCTACTGTGTGGCTTATTCACGGGACGGAAAGCGCTTCGCCTCTGGCGGAGCTGACAAAACCATCATCATATGGACTCACAAGGTTGAACACGTATCATCGCTACATCTATTAACGAGTTGCGCTTGTAGGGAGAGCTTTTAGCATTATGGTTTACGCAAATTTCGTCTCTACTCCATGAAATTTTGAGTATAAGTTTTTGTTGCCTTGAATAATATGATTGTATGTAGTGATTACATGTAGTGCCTTTTGCTTAAATTGACTTTCACTAGATTGATCACGATTGCATGATTAAGGCAGAAGGCATACTGAAGTACAGCCATGGAGACTCAATCCAATGCTTGGCCTACAACCCCGTCACTCAGCAGGCGGGTTTCATATTTGCACCTGCTCTACAGCATTCGATGCCTCAACTGGCAGCACATAATTATCTCATTGTGAATCCGTGGCAATTGTCGTAGCCTTCATCTTTAGGTTATGGATAGCTCACGGGCATTGGATTATAGGTCAGTTAGATCACCGTGTCCTTGTCTTTTACCTATCTGGGCGTTTTCTGTGACATCTTTCTGTTCCATGGGTGTAAATTAGTTTGGTCTCAGATACAGATAGAAAGATATCAACTCCAAATTGTGTAGTTCATGGGAACTCCGGGAACTTCATCAGCGGTCGCAACAACATGATTTGTTTTACCGATCAGCTACGTCGGCTAACTGGATGCTTAACTTGCAGCTTGCGAGTGGAACCGCAACCGACTTCGGAATATGGTCTCCGGAACAGAAATCTGTTTCGAAACACAAGGCTCCTTCCAAGGTTATGAGTGTCCTGTGACCTGCTGATGTTGTGGTGTGAATTGACTCTAACCTATACGCTTATTACAGTTGTCTCGGGGAATTCACTTATATGTATGATAAGTTGTATTCTAGACGACCATGATTTTAAGTACAGTTTCCACTAAAATGTCCTGAAATTATAGTAAATTTCAATTCAGGTGTTATGCGCCGCATGGACTGCAGATGGACAACATCTTGCATTGGGAATGTATCATGGCCTCATCTCCATTTGCGATAAATGTGGCGTTGAGCAGGTACACGTATTCTCTTTCTCAAGTCATACATCCGCCAAGAAATTGATATTATCGTTCATCTTTCATGGTGCACGCAAATTGAAGTTAAAAGGTAATTATACATTTAGCTACATTGGATCTGATGAGGATTACATGACGGTTGCGAACAGGTGGTGGTACAAAGACCAGGACCCGTGTGGACGTTGCAGTGGAATACATTGCAGAACAAGACATCAGACACGCTTGCTGTTGGATGCTGGGACAGTACCCTTTCGTTCTACGATTTATCAGGCAAGCAGGTTTGCCCCATCACCTCGACTAAATGACCCCATATAATAACGGTCATCAAGCGACCCGAATCCAGTTTTTATGTTTATTTATCTCGTGAGTATTGAGGAACCTTAGAAATCTATTCATCTTTAGACTTATGGAATTGGTTCTCACTCGTTTTTGCATGATTGGAGTTTAATCACCCTTAAGTTTGAATCTGAGTAATGCACCTCAACAAGATCTAATCCTAGAAATGAAAGGCCTCAATTAGTCTTGGAAGCGTAGTTTTTCACTGTTTCGCCTTTTGGAGCCTTGAAGAGTTTTTTTTTTTTTTTTTTTTTTTTTTTTTTTTTTCCTGCTCAGTTGTAACTTTAGGTTGTGACTCCCACGTGCAGATTGGGAAGGACAAGAATATTGGTTTTGATCCATGCAGTGTCATATACCACGATAGTAAATACCTTTGCCTCGGTGGCTCAGACAAAAAGGTGAATTTTGTCGGCGTTATTTTTCAACTCTGTTCTTGCTCCCGCATGCCCACAGAAGAATGAGTGAAAAGGGATGAGCTCAAACATATTAATCAGAAGGACAATATTCTTATTTCGAGCAACATATATTGATCAACTGTGCACTCAAGTAATATTGAATGAGGAGAATGGAAGAGTGGCAATTTTTTCAACCACTCACAGTAATCTTGAATATACAAGATCCTTCAAATTTATCCTCGTGTTGACATGGTCTGAGAAGTTCGCTGATCATATCAATCAGGCATGTAGGTGTTGCTTTACTCAAAAGATGGGGTGAAGCTTACTACAATGTGTGAAACTAGCGACTGGATATGGACGATAAGATCACGGCCCAAGCATGACTACGTGGCAGTAGGATGCAACGATGGCAGTATCTCTATGCTTCAGCTATTGTTCTCAACTGTAAGAATCTCTCCCCTTCATTTTCTACCACCGCAGTGAGTATATTAACTTAAGTTGTTGTGAAGAACGACAGAAAATATATATTGTGACAGGGAATGGAGTTCATGATTTTAGTGGTTACTGCTATTTTAGCTCAGCGGTTAATCTCTTATATACAATATGATTAGAATGGAGAGGGGTTGGATATGATGGAAAGACCAGGTGCATGGATTATATCTGGAGCGCTACGCATTCCGGGATGCCATGACTGATGTCGTCATCCAGCACCTTATCACTGAAGAAAAAGTGAGATCATTTTAAAAGAAATAATAATTGAGTTTGATGTGGTGCTAAATCTAAAGTAATACATCCGCTCACAATGTGAATGACTGCAGCACACTCCATGACTTTTAGTCAAGTTTCATCGAATGTTAATCTCTATTCTTATGCTTCGTGAAAGTAAAGATGGACAGACATGTGAGGACATAAGCTGGGTGCAGGTAAGGATTCGGTGCCGGGACTACATCAAGAAAATAGCAGTTTACATGGAGCGTGTGGCAGTACAACTTTCCAACCGCATTATCGTATACGAGTTGAACAAGGATGTTGCTGGAGCTAGAGCCGCTCAATATCGTGTCTGTGCCCGCATTAATCGCTCTATGGAGTGCAACCTCTTAGTCCTTACCTCAGAGCATATCACGTTGTGCCAGGTTCTTGTTTTTCATTTTATCTCTTTCTTGTATAACATGTGATTTACATATAATTAATATAAATATGCAGGTTTCATGGCCATTATATGGGCTGCTTTCAGGAGACGAAGTTGCAGCTGTTCTCGCTAGATGGAATCAAAAAGAGGGAATGGCTTTTAGAATCAATCATAAGATATATTAAGGTACATTTCTCTGACATTTGTTGAAAAGCTGGTTTTTACAATGACGATTTCTAATCTTTCTCAGACTTGATCTTTTGGGGGGCATCCCTTGCATCATTTAATACTTGCTACGTATGACATGAATTCTAAGCAGACTTATCTTTTTGGAATTTAGGTTTGTGGTGGTCCTCGTGGAGGCGAGGGACTGCTAATTGGAATGAAAAATGGGTTGGTTGTGAAATTGTGGATCAATAGTAACTTCCCCATTCGACTCTACAAGCACACGAATGGCATACGTTGCCTCGATCTCTCATCTCGTCGTGTTCGCCTCGCCATTGTTGACGAAGCCGCCAACGTGCTGGTGTATGATATTGAGGTATGTGCCATTTCTGGTGAGTATAACTGAAGATGAAAAGACCGATTTTCATCAGGAACTTTTAACGCATTCACTGCCAATTGATTACAATTGATTATGATTATGATTTTTCATTGAGTGAAAAAGTAAGACATTGGCGAACCATATTTTCTTTGCTACTGTCTGCAATTACAGCTGGCTTTTAACTGTGAGCCTCTGTTCAGTACTCTTTTTGTGACGAGCTTGTGTTGAGATCTTCTCATACAGACAAAAGAAATCAGTTTCGAGGAGAAGAGTGCGAGTTCCGTTGCTTGGAATACAAACATGGAAGATATGCTTTGTTATTCAGGAACCGGCATGCTGAACATCAAGACAGCTGACTTTCCTGTGCACCGACAGAAGCTTCAAGGCTATGTTGTTGGCTTCCAAGGCTCCAAGATTTTCTGCTTAAACCATCTCTCCATGCAGGTACACATATATTCTCTTCGTGATTGCCAAGCTATGACATGCTATATTGTCGTAAGAAAATCATGCATCTCTTCACAACCCCTAATGAAGAGAGTGAAGCCTATTAGTCCCCTCAAGAGCCTCTGTAAATCTCGAGCGAATAAGCTTTGGAAGGCGATTTTTGATATTCTCATATATTTGATTCATTCTTATTAATGAAAATTCAGAGTATAGAAATGGAGTATTGCAAGAATATGAAGCACATAGAATTTTCTTTCCTTCTGCATGATATTGAGCATATGACATCGGCAATGCTATATTTGTAAAATTGTGGCTATGTAATGTGTTGGCTGATCAAAATACTCACGCACTGGTTTTGAGGGATACTAGAGCAGACAATTGAAGTTCCACAGTCTACAAGCATGTGTCACTATGTGGAGAAACGGCAATATGGAGATGCTTACAAGGTAGCATGTCTTGGAGTAACCGAGGCAGATTGGCGCATGCTAGCTCTTGCGGCGCTGAAAGGGCAAGCCTGGGATGTCGCAAAGAAGGGGTTCATCCGATTGCGGGACGTTTGCTACTTAGATCTCATACACAGACTCGAAAAAGGCCATTGTTCGCACGTCCAGAAGTCGACATTCGGCGCCCTTGTTCTCGCATACCAGGTTGTCGACCTCATCTTGTGGAGTTCGATTTCAGTTCAGTGCATAGTATATAGCAGGACAATAACTGATTCTTACTTTGAAGAGAACGCAATTGATTGGGTTTACTTGATTTTATGCACATATTTAATGACTGCAAACGTACCGAGTGGCAGGGTAGATTCAAAGAGGCGGCAGATGCGTACATTGAAGCAGGCCAGATGGGTATGGCCATGGAGATGTACTCTGATCTCCGCATGTTTGAAGAAGCCAAGGCGCTTGCAGTAGCTGAAAACGAGTTACGGTCCGAGGTGACTGATACTGTCACCACCACTTCTATCAAAAGAGAAGCGGACGTGCAGGAAATTATTCAACGGCAAGCTGAATGGACGGAAGAAACAAAAGATCATGAAACTGCTGCTGATATGTACCTCGTTGCTGGCCAACCAGAGAAGGCCCTCTCTCTTCTGGTGGAGCACGGCCCAGCTTCCAAACTCATCGAGGTGAAATACAAGATGGGTTAAGTGTAATGTTATAGTGGCATTTTATGCATACGGTTAATTTCTTGATATATCTCCAACACCCGTAAGAGAATGTGTTGTTTCAAAAATGATTAGCCCACTTGATAAATTGGTATATTACAGAGCTGAAGCAAATGTCGGTTTTCTAATTTTAGGTGGCAAGACGTCTAAAGAAGACCCAGGTGAAGGAGTTGATGCACTGTGCAGTGCTAATGAGGCGTGGGGGGCACTATGCACATGCCTTTGAGACATACACTAGGCTTGGTGATTTTAGGTCTGTCTCGAATACTTGTCTTTAACCCATCTTAGGCAGTTACATTATACTTACAAAAGAAGCATGACAATTAACCCCTTGTGAGAATCCACTGGAAACAAATGGCAGGTCTATTCTCTCTTTGCATGTGGAGTTGGAGCAATGGGATGATGCGTTTGCCATCAAGAGGTTGCATCCTGAAATCGTAGATGAAGTTGCGCTTCCATATGCACAGTGGTTGATTAATCATGACCGCTTTGATCATGCTCGGCTGGCGTATTCTCATGCTGGCCGATCAGATTTATCGGAGCGCTTACTTACACAATTAATGGATAATGCAGTAAGTACCCATTTATGCATTATATCTTGCTACTTGAATGCATTTGTTCTTTTAGTTTTTTCCCTAAGTCTGCGTGCAATCTTTACTCGAGAGTGTCTGCATGTTTCAAAAATCAAATACACGTGCTCCAGAATTTCATCAATGCTGTTGTGGGCTAATGGTCACCAGTTGAAGGAGAAGAGGTTCAAGGATGGAGCACGTCTATGTAGAAATTTGGCACTGGAAGTTTTGGCACAGGTAGCAGTGTTTGCAAAAGCAAACGATGCAGGTATGGAAAAGTTAAAGTTCGAAGAATTTTGTGAGCTGAGGTTGCGTGCGGACATCTTTTATGCATACTCCTTCATATATCAGTCGATTAACGAGCCTTTTCGTACATCGCTGCCTGAAACCTTGTTCAACATTTCTCGCTTCCTGTTGGCAAGAATACCACAAGATCCACCACGTCCAGTGTCTCTTGTCAACATATTGGTTACACTCGCTAAGCACAGCGAGCAGCTTGGTAAGATCATTTCATCCCTATGTTAGAATAGTGAAATATATGTTCCATCTCACATCTGTAGATTTTACAGTTCTAGATACATTCCAATATGCATGAGAGCAGATTGCATTCCTTGGAGCATCACCATTCTGGTGCTTTAAATTATGCATCAGCGTTGTTTTAAGGTTTCTTCAATATAGTTCTTCACATGGCATTCTTAAACAATACTTTTTCTTGAAATGGCATTCTCAAACAATAGCCATCCAAGATATTGTTTAAGTTGTGATAAAGAAAAAGTAAATGGTAAAAGTCGATTGGGATTCTGTAAAGGGTGGTTTTAATGTTAATTTGTACACATATGTATCAAATTTAAAATTTGCATTGATTAATGCCGTAATATGACCATATTTACTAATTAAAACTTTCATGGTCTTACAATAGTGTTGCGATGGACCAAAATTCCTTATAATCTAAGACAAGGTTAGTGGGTAAAAAATTAAATTAAAATCCCTCGAAGGCCCTCCCAAGGAACAAACACAATGTTTATTGCTCATAACTCTCACATATTTGGTATAGTGTTATGATGCAACTAAAGATTCCATCTGGTGATTTAATGTGGTGCCTTGAGTATTGTAATGTAAAAGCCTTGTTTCTAGAATAGCGCAGGTGATAAACCAACGTGAAGTAGTCATTCTGTATTAGAGTTTGTTGCTCTACAATGGACATGCTCTTATGCAGCAAAGACTTCGTATGTAACCTCTGTGGTTGCCTTTCACAGCCGCGTAAATTATCTGATTTGACTTATTTGTTGCTCAATGTTCTGGTTATTCTTCTGCAGGGTTGTATAAGATTTCAAGGCACACGTACGAAAGGTTGCAGAAATACAAAGTTCCTCAAAGTTGGGTAGATAAAGTGGAGGTCGCAACGCTGATCATGCGAGGCAAAGCACGGAGACCAGATGAACCTAAAATGGACTTGCCCACATGCTATGCTTGCTCCTCTCCCTTGCCCATAGCATCATCCTCAACACAGGATATTTGCTGCAACTGTTCTCAACCAATCTTCCGCTCTTCCATAACGTATGATCAACTGCCGCTGGTAAATTATTATCCCACTATGTCACATGTTGCGTTCTGCTTGATAAAATCTTGAGATCATATATCAACTTCATCGCAAACCTCCTGGTCATAACAGGTGGAGTTCGTTCTGGACGAAGGCGTATCACACGAGCAAGCAATGCTGTTGAGTGGTGCCACCTCTGCGAGAAATAACTCTCACTGCGTAGAGAATCCTTTGGAACTGGGGCAGCAACGGGTGTCGTCGAATAAATCAACAAGGCCTGGGCTTGTCGTTGCCACCAAAGCCATGCTCCGCAACCTCCAGGGCGCACTAGTACTGGTACAGACATGTCCTGTCCAGTATGAGAAACCGAGGTATTTCTACGTTGTAGATCCGACATTGCCTGTGACACAATGCAGCTCCTGCTACCATTTCTTTGAGCAGGAGGAGATGGACTTGGCGACTCTCGAGCATGGTTCATGTCCCTTCTGTGAAATCCCACTCACTCCGCCTTCCCATTCTTTGATGCCCACGCTGGGAAACAATCTTGTTGGGCAATCAGAACATGGGAATCTGCTGCAGTTACTCCCCCTACCAAGCCCTGAGAACAGCTCAAATCAAACCCCTGTCAACGGCCTGGAACCAAAGAATTCTAAGTCCACAGACCAGCCACTGTTCTGCATGACCAAGCATTAGTGCTCAAATTGGTCCATGCAACCTTTGCTACAGAGTCATTGATAGATCATTGTTTAAGCAACCATTCTGAATTTCGCAAGAATGTGACATGACTCTTCATTTCTCGACCCTAACATTCAAGCATTGAAGACTCCATGTAACAAATCTGATGGCTTGTCTACGTTCAATCTAACTGTGATGCAGATGCTACTTGTTCCCAAACTCTACAGATTCCAGCTTTCAACTCATGACATAATTAAACTTCTTTAAGTTCATAGCTTCAGCACTTGTGAGAGATTTCCCACTAGATCTACATGAAATTGAATGAACAAATGGCTGCCTATTACATTACTTTCTTCAATCTTGTAGGAGTAAGTGATATCCATCAAAAAGTAATATTCCGTTATATAGAACTTATTACACTTAAAGCTTTAGCAAAATAATTTGCTCATTATTTGAGCCTTTTCTGAAGCACTGTAGTAATTTTTTATTTTTAAAGGCATACAATTCTGAGAATTGCCGTATTTTTTTAGATTTTTCATAAAATCTGTACTCCTCAATTGAAAAATCACTCTAATGTTGATACCCTTCATGTTCTTCATTCTAAATATCCCAATTCTCAGAAAGTCTGAATAATAATAATTAAACTTTTAAAAAAAAAAGTAACAGATAATACAGATAATTTAGTAAATATCCAGCAGCTTAAACAGCCTTCAAAAAATTAAAATTGTTAAAATCGATGATTTGATTCGAAAAATAATGATTTTAGAAATATGTCCAGGTTTGCTAGGAATCAATAGTAATAAGCATAGCTGTACTACCATGTTTCATTAAACAACATTTTTACTTTAATGGAACTAAAATTTCGACTGGCACGATACCTTCTTGTGATACATCAAGATGAACAAAACATGAATGAAGTAAAGAGGTGTCACAAAATCCAATCCACTCTACTCTTGGGATGGAAGATTATGAAAGAATTAAAAAAAGAAAAAAAAGAAAAAAAGTGAGAAAGCATTTTAACATGTCAGTGCTAGAAACTGGGCCTCAGTTTGCCCAGAGGATATGTTTAGAGCTTGGAAACCAGAGATTTTTCATCTTCTGGTGAGACAAATACTCGGAGTGTTCCTTCTTGAGCAAGGGAGGCCACTAGCTGCATCATCACCCACAGCCCACAAAACACACAATTCATGGGTCACAAACGGTATTCAATAGCACTTGTGCTTCTAAACTTCCAGCACATACAAGTTCAGCTGCATCGTTGTTGTAGGATAAATCTTTGAGGGCTGACTGTACCTCGCCATTTTCTGTGTAGACTCGAGCAACGCACAATGCACGTCCGTCACATGCACGAGGACTCTCCATCTGAGCCAGTTGAACAAGCATACACACACACTTGTTAGCCTCTAACAGAATCAGACATGCACAAAAGCCTATATCTGGAGTTCAAATTGCCATGTTTTTTTTTTTTTTCTCATGACTCCTGAAGAGCCTCGATAATGGTAGTGAAACGCCTGAAAGGGTTGAGAGATATAAAGGGAGGTGTCTGTACCACAACGAGAAGATACTCATCTGCCCGAAATGGTCGGTGAAACCATACCCTGCACCCACCTCCATGCCTAAAATCATCAGCTAAGGTGCAATTGTTGCCATGCGGATGCTCTATTATTAAGCAATGAACTGATTCTGGAGGAGTGGTGAAGTGTGCAATGGGGATGGGGGAAGAAGATTTTACGACTGATCAAGGCTGAGGCCAACTATGGGATATTTATTCACCAACTTGTTGTGAGGCCCTAATGCTGTCTCCAAAAAGGACCAATCAAAAGCGTAACATGCGGCACACCTGGTTGGATTATCCCACTCTCTTGTTAGTACCTAGAGCACTGAAAGAGGTGACATAACATTCCTGTAAACCCCAGATTTGTTATTTGGTTACCTAGGTAATTCACAAGTCCTTTCGGTAGGGCATTAAAATTGATGTTTTATAGATGGATGAACATGATCCTGCTTGCAGCAACCCCCATCTCTCATCAAGTTCGAGTTCAAGTTGGTCACGTACCTATGAAGGGCCAGATCATCGCTAAGCTTTCCTCTTGTCCGCATCCACACTCTCTGCCTGCAGAAGAATCCGTGTCCATCAGCTCCCTCATCCAGGAAAGATAATTTAAAATGATCACTTGGAATCGTAAGTTGAGGAAGTCTATTATCGAGCACTTAAGACAAGAATGATTTTAGCACATAATGCTATGAGCTTCACTCTGCGGTTGCAGATGTACATGCGAAATGAACCAAAATTCTTGCTGGTGATGTCAGAAAAAGTCGATCTAAGCGATGGTGACATACCGAGGCTCTTGAGGTTCCAGAGACAATGGGCTTCTACGGTTGTGATACTTCAGGTCCAATGTTTGGTTCATTCTCAAGCTCGATGAAGATGCCTGCTGATTGTGCCTAACATCGAGAGAGTTTTAATTTAGATTGATGTTGCAAAGAAACCTAAAATCCCCAGAAAACTTGGTTGGTCAGAACCTCGACTACATGTGAGCACTACTTACGCAAGAGATAGAAGAATGTGAAAAATCACATGCAGATTGAAAGGATCGGTGCTAGCCATAAAGGCCAAAAATGATCAATTTTCTCACAACAATGAGGAATATAGCTGTAAAGCATGTAAAAAATGAAGGATGTGGAATTGCACTTAGACAAGCGTTTGTCATCGCAAAGCGGCCCCAGCAAGTCCTCGTAAGTGGGAAGCTGCAACCACAATCAGTACATGAACTAGTGGGTACCCAACATATGAGGTTTCGGTAGGTTGATTTGCACAGAAACAAGAAGATTAACAGTAAATGAATATTGAAACACACGCCAGAAGGTTTACTAGTTATATTGGTTAATAATGAAAGTCGAATACGTACCTCATTGGGTGTAGGCATAGTAGGCATCGGATATTGATACTCCAGTCCCTTTTCTGCCCTCTGCAATAGGAAAAATGAACTTGTAAGAAGCAAAGGAGATGCAAATTCTAGCATTGGAACAATTCAAAGTGCCATAGACGATCAGCTGAAGCACAACAAATCACGGTGTTGCATTAAAAAGCATGTTTTGGTGTGAGGAATGTGTAATAAAGCTATGAATTTTTAAAAGAAGAAGAGATGATGAGTAGCAATGCTTGTCATGTTTGATGAAGAAAAAAATCATGGAATAGAAATATTTATCTTTTCCGGAGACAAGTATTCAGTTATCGGACCATGAAGGCTAACCTATAATAACACCAACAAGACGTAGAAGTTACCTGAAAAGATGCATACAAGGCGAAGATTATTTTCCCTTTCTGTATGGCTTGCACATGTCTCGTTGCAAATGTGTGACCATTCCGAATCCTCTCCACCTTGTAATTGACAGGTACTGCAGAGAAACAACATAATTTTTGGCAAAAATCTCAATCTCGTCAAATAAGAACCAACCAGGAAATCTAGAAACAATCAACTTTGTTCAAGTTTTCAGCCCTATCACCCACTACATTGCATGAGTAATATGTTTAACTTCATGTCAAACGTAAAGATTCATTAGAACCTCAAATCAAAACCATAAACTGCTCTACTATGCTTAACATACAAGTTTTTAAATCCCTCCCACGCCAACATGGCTTGTCAATAAGTATATGCAATGAGGAACAAGAGAAAAACATACGACTTGGAGTCCCGGAGTAGATAAAGTACGAATGAAGGCTGTGGACAACAAGAGCAGGATCAACCGTCTTGCATGCAGCTCCTAAAGCCTACTCATGCCAGCCAGTTGACATCATGGATAAGCTCTCACTTTGAGAAAAGATGCACAGAGAGCTCAAAAATATAAACGAGAAGCAGCTAAGTTTCATGTACAAAAGTCACCTTGATTACAGTCTAATGATTAGGGAATTACTTACCAGGCCTACTATGTGACCTCCATACATGTTGTTCCAAAATGAAGGTGCCTCAGCCATGGGGTTGAATCGAAACAAATCATCCTGGTTCAGAAGTAAATAAGCAGGAAGTGTGAATAGACTTGGGTGACAAAGTGGACATATTGTAAGTTAAATTTCCGTGCATGGTTTCAGCCCAACGCACACCCATAAAGAACTTGGTACTAATATCCATTATTACATACCGACAAACTGTCACTCAAGCGCACCTTTATAAATTCTAGCTGTAAGAGACATTCCACTAAAGTCAGTTCTTCAGGGTGATGTCTCCATGTCGATGTTGGAGAAAGCAGTTGAGCTTCGCAATGTGGAATAATAATACACGAAACCTGACGGGAATTAAAAAATGATAAGTACACAGCTGTTAGATAACAGAATATGAAATTTGACCCTAAAATAGAAACCTAGAGAATCAACTACAAACACATCGTTTTTAGCGATCGTACCTCTGAGCGAGCAACTATATCGTGACTGTGGAGTTGCTTTCTTGGTCCAAGACAAGCTGCCAACCCAAAAACACTCCGTTTCAGCTGAGTTATAAAAGTATACATAATGATTGTTACACCGCAAGTTTTGATCAAGTTTGAGCACGAGGGGTTCAAATCGGACTTTGAATCTGCTGCACAATACTGCCATTTTCTTTCGAATTATCACGTCAAGTTTTCAAGGACAACGAGGATTCATACCATGCCCAAACTGATCGCCCTTCCTCAGAACCGGTGGAAGTTGCTCCACCTTGGTCTCCTCTAATATCCTTAAAACTTCAGACTACACAGATCGACATGTACAGACGTGTCAAGAGAAGGTTCATTGGATGGGCCGTAAGATTTATTGAGGGTAGAAGCTATTTGTGCTTGGTAGAGCCAGAGTTTGTCTGACTGTTAACATCCTTTCACATGAGGCAACATAACATTTTTTTGAATCAACAAAAAGAAAGTAAACAGTAGATTTGATCACCAAAAACTCATTCACAATTCTACGTACCTCGCCCTTCCAAATAATATACAGTCCTTCACCTGCTTCGCCTGCTTTAACTATCGGCTCACCTTTCTCTGCAACCAGACATCGAGTTTCCCATTCTCTAATGAAGTGCAAATAAAGAATTCAGCCTACAAAACTTACAATTTAACAAATCAGAATGGGATCTAAACACAGTCTTGCAAATTAGTGATTTAGGTCATTTACATGTAATCAGTCCATCAAGTTTCGTGAAAAGATTATTACCGAAGTGCTGTAGTTGAGAAACTTGAGTTATCTGCTGAAACGACTCTGCCGGTAGCCGCTGTAAGAATGGTATCGACCCCAGCATATTCAGTACTGCACCACAGAGGTTTCATTCATACCAGTGACCCCTAAGCGAGCCAATAAGAATAAATAAGCTCAAAATCGATTTGTCTGTACAGAATTCGTGATACTGAATCATCAACTCAGAATTTTGTACCAGTAGAACCGATCCGGCGAAGGATTGCAAGGTGAGAAATAAGGGATAAAAGAGGAGAAGTATATGAGAACCTAGCTGAAGGTCCTTTGAGGAGACTTCCATGGCCACGCAGCCCATCTTAGGTCGTCAGATTCTTCACCCAACAAGAAGTCAGCCGCGAAATGTAACTGCATCTGGATGTATCCGATTCCTCCCTCGAGAGAATTTCTCCCCCTACACGAAAGTAAACGCAGCAGCCAGTCAATCCAATTTGAACGAAGTGTCAGGCACCTGAACTTAGGCCGGAGCTCACCTCTACCAATTACGGCAGCTTCAAACCCAACACTGCAAAATTCCTGGAAATCCAAACCGCCATACCCACCTTCATCCCTCGATCCGCCACAAACCTACAGGTAACCACAACAGGAAAATCTCACATGAGAACAATGCTTCGATCAAATTGTGTGCCGATAAGCGCATCCAGAAACTTCCTCTCCTGCTTCAGTTCTTCTTCGTCCAACATTCATTGTTTCCTCTGCTTCACATGCTCCTCGAGACACACTGCATCTGACATTCTACAGGAGCACCAGTTCCAGGTTTGGAGGAGCCATCCAAGTTGGAGCTTGATTTCCGCCTCAACTTCGGATTGTGAGCAAATCAGGATGTTGGTTCAATACTTAGTGCTGATGGCCCTTTTGACTCACGAGAGTACGTGTAAAGTTGATTCCTGCAGAGTGTACAACTCGAATAGTGAGTCTAATCTCGGTCTTTACATAACGATTGAAGCCGGCGCCTGCGCGCCTGGGAGTGACGAAAATTGAGATTATCGATGCAGCTGCCAGTCACATGTTGTGAGGCAGCCATTTAAGACCGTGCGATGAGTCCGACAATGTCATTATGTTTTATCTATTTCAACCACGTAAAAAATGGGCAGCTTCTACATTCGAAATAGAACGCTGGTGTCCGTCACAAAAGTCAGGAATCAAAACTTTAAAAAAAATGGATGACCATTTCAATTGTGAGATGTTAACAAATCCGCTCAATAATGTTTGCTGTCATTTACAAGTAATAATGGTCTTCGGTTTGTTGTTGCAATTTGCCAGTTTACTAGAGTAATGCCAGTTTTGAAATTCACAACAATGCCAATTCTGGCAGATTGTCATTACGCTTAACCGTTTTACCGAGATTTTGATGATACGACTCAACTTATTTATTTAATGCGGTTCTTCCAGAATTAAGACTCTGGAGTAACTAAAGTCTTGATTCTGGAAGGACCGCAGCTCGTTCAGTCACAAGCAAGAGAGGGACGGAGTAATGCACAGAAATTGAACTGCAACTCCATTAAAAATTCACAGAAAATAAAACAGAAAAATGTACCTGAAGAGCTTTACAAACTTTCTGATGATTTTTAACATAATTCATTTGAATATATACAATATATACAAAACTCAAGTGTTGATGACTTTAAATGACTTTAAATGCTAGACTTAAATGCAGAGTCGGAAAAAACTTCTGTACCCCTAAATTTTACAAAAACTCTTTTGGTTGGCAATCGACTGTGAAGTTGTTCTGCTCCAAACACCCAACCTCAAGAGATATCCCCAGCAGCTTGCTGGAGTTATTTGAAAACAGCTTTACAACAATCGATCGATTGAGTTGGACAGAGTGAACTTCCCGACAGAAACCATTTTGTGGTTTCATCCATTTCCTCTAACTTGAATATTTCTTCATACTTTCTTTTCTGCCCAACAGTATCATCTTCTTGGCCGTTTTCTGATAGAATTTTCAAGGTTGAAGGTGTTGCCAAGCGTTGGTGTTCATCAACTACAAAACTGGGTATCAAGGTTTTCGGATCATTCATTGAACAAATCTGTTCTTTAGTCTTTGGTCTCTTGTGCTTTTGCACAGCTCCGCCAAGGTTCACTACCTCCTCATTTCGATGTGCGTAAAGAACACCTGCAAGAATCTCAAAAAATCCCACCTTCTGAGCAAAGTATTTTAGCATATTGAGGAGTTCATCATCGTATATCAAACTGTCAGAAGCAAGACCCACAACATCCCAAAGCCCTCTACTACGCATTCATGAGTAGATAGACCACGAAAACACAGAACTAAGGGTTGAAATGTGATCTGAATATATAGAACCCACACATTTGGACCATGTAACGATGAGGGAACAAATTAGAGAGGTCCTACGTGGACCTTATTATTATTCGTTGTGCTGAACTTGTGAGTTACTTACCTGCATCTTTCAAGATATGCTCGTATTGGCTTTCAGAACAGCTTTGGGTGTCGTTCGGGGACTCAATCTCATCTTCAATCCCATCTTGCTCTTGGGAAAGAGCCGACAATTCGCTGTTTTCAATGTCGTCTTCAATCTCAAGTTTGCTGCTTACAGCATGCTCGCCCAGGAGTCCTTGTTTGGCACATTGCTCAGAACTGGTTCGATGGATGCCTGTGAGTCTTTCTTCATGATTTTCGATAATTTCACTAGTGAAAACTGTCTCCAAAAGATCCCGAAACAAATTGCTAATTCCAAAAAGCTCACCCTTGTAGAGTTTAGAGTCCTGTGCATTATCCGCATGAGAACATATAAGTAAGATGTGTGTAAATATTGCAGCTTCTGAAACATTTGACAAGCCATTCACAGATGAAACGTCCTCTAAAACTGCGTAACTTAGAAAGTGGCAGAGCAAATCAAGATAGTCTAGGATTTAACTTAACCGACAAATAGAGTGTGTTCTTTCCCTTACAATCAAGGTGTATAACAAAAAAGATGTCAACCATCATCTTATTTGACGATGGTGCTTCAAGAAAGAAAGAAGAACCTAAACTTAGATACCTGTACACCTTCAAAATAGCGCTTCTCCGATGTGCCATTGACACCAATGTTGAAAAGTTGCTGCTTATAGATCTGACGAGAATAAACAAGCTCCTCTATTGAACCTGCAGCTAGCAGTCTGTACACAGTAACATGCCGTCGTTGTCCGTAACGGAATGACCGATCTTGAGCCTGGAGATCCTGAGCGGGGTTCCAGTTGGGATCGAAAATAACCACTCTGTTGGCACTGACAAGGTTGAGTCCCAATCCACCAGCCCGAGTTGAGATCAAAAATACCTAAATTAAACAAAAGCCATGAGAATCAGAATAAATCGTTCCACTGAAAGATGCTCACTTACGTATTGAATACATCGCTAATCAGTGAATTCACTACACCAAATAACTAGTCGTTCCTGTCAGCATATTATCGGGATCAGAATTCAAGGAATCCGGGGAACGTGGAATCAAGCAAATTTAATGCTCCCATAAGGCCTCGGTAAGTGCCTCAAAAAAATGTACAACGATTCGGGTTCTTCTGGAATTGCTACAATGTTACCAGTCAATGTTGTACGTACACATCCCTCCAATATTTACAGTAAGTGAGAATAATGTCCCCAGAAACTTTCTAAACACACACACATGATAACAAAATAACTAACTAACTTACTGAATAATGAATAATGAAAAGAAGTACCTGCTTGCTAGGGCTGTTATTGAAACTGTCTACAAGAGTCTGCCGAACGCCCATCGGAGTAGATCCATCAAGGCGGCAGAAGCTGTAAGCTTTCCGTACTAAGAACCTATCCAAAATATCCAACATTCTGCAAAAAAAATCCAATAATCTCAATTAGACTACATTTCCTACAATAGAAAAGAATGCGGAAACACTGACAACTATTCAAGGGCTGGGAAAGATGCCTACACCAGGTTCTATTCAGATACAGCTGTTATCTATTGATAACATCTGAAATCCAAAAGATTACTACAAGGTCACCATCCATACAAAACCGTCAGAGTAACACTCTAGGGATCCAAGGACCTCTATGAATATGAGCAAAAAAGAAGTTCACGATAATGTAAAAGCGGATAAGTTCCGTTTACTTATTTAAAAATAACATAGATAACTCACTTTACAGAACAGCTGAAAAGGAGGACCTTGTCTGCTTTTGAAAGCCATGTTTCAAGCAGTTTCTCCAAAGCCCGCATTTTGCCGCAGTGCTGAGCGTCACTCATTCCCATGAAGCTCTCATCCTGCTGTAGTCCGCCAACCAGCACTGCATCCTCGCCTAATGCAGCTGAAGCAAATTGCTCATCTTTCTTCTGCTTTTCTGGGTCATCCTTTGAACTAGGCTTGATCAACTCGAGATGATTACTCACCTGCAAACCAGTCACACAGACTAGTTGAGAATGGCCAACTTGAGCAACAATGTGCTATCCGGAGGAGCATTTGACGTCATCTACGTCAAGGTCCTTAAGGATTACAGATTTCACTGAACTTCAAGGTTTTGCAACATTTAAGAAACTAACGACAGCTGATCACTTACCTGCTGCAGCTTAATCAAGCATGGAAGAACGATGCATAAAGGGCAACATTCACAACCATCAGGGTTTTCCCGGTGCAAGTAGGACCAAATAACCCCATCAGGAGCTGTACGATGGCAACATTCTACACGAGTTAAGTGACTGCCGCAGGTACATGGCAAGTCCTTGCTGATAAGAAGCTGGAAATCAGGACTTCGAAGCAACCGTCTGTACGCTTGAATCTGTAAATCACTCATCTTACAGAACACCACATTGTCGGCTTTGCCTCGCATAAGATGACCAATGGTCTCTTGTTTCGTTCTACGGAGTAGATGACGGCCAAGAACTTTCACCTGCACAAGAGAGCATGGGGCTTATTGCATTTCAAACACCTTACTCAAGCTGCAATAGAATCGAGGGGACAACTTTAGCACGCGACTTCAGTGTCAGAACTTTAATACACTTAACACTAAAATAGCAAACACAGATGTCGAGCAGACAAACAAACTACAGACATCCATCTAGTTATCAAGTTTACCAGATGCTGCTTGCGTTCCTCAGCAATGCGTACGAAACGTTCTGGTGCACTAATACGCTGACCTTGCTTCAAAGGCTCTCCATAATACTCCAAGAAGTGTTCGCGAGGACCCAAGCAACCGGGAGCAGCCCAATCGAAAACATTGAAAAGCTCAATGTATTTATTTTGCATAATCGTTCCTGTTAGACCGTACCGACGCCTTGTCTTTATTTGATAACAAGCCTTATAAAGCTGAGATTTCTCATTTTTTAACCGGTGAGCTTCATCTACAATAACGCAGTCCCACTTGATTGCGCAAAGGGTAGTCACATTCAACCGAAACATATCATGGCTTGTCAATAGCACCTGAGTCCATTGCCATCCCGTGTCAGCGCCGTGGCAACAATAGGTTTAGCAAATCCTTGGAAAAATAACACCTGCTCTATGAATCCATAAGATCAACCTCCCACGAAAAGAAGACAAATACGTCAAAAATTAAATGACAAGGGAGAAGATGCCTGAGTATGCAAGCATACTCCATGACAGGTTAATACATACACCTCCAGCTCATCTGCCTGAACTTTCTTCATGATGGCGTCCCGATTCACACCATGATAGATCCCCACCTTGAAGGAGCCCCATGCTTGAAACTCCTGCTCCCAATTTTGCAGCACGGACGTGGGACACAGGATGAGAAATACTTCGTGAAAAGGGACAACACCCTTGTCAACTCCACTCTCCGGCAACAGCCTCAAAGAACGGATGGCCCTAATTTCGCCGTCTCGTTGCAGAAGTGCCGCAATGAAGGATATCGTCTGAATTGTTTTTCCTAGCCCCCTGCCACAGACACAAAAGCTGCCGCATGTGAGGAGGAACGTCCTACTCAAAGTGATGCAAGACGCAGCAATATTGCTCAAGAATAAACTACACCATAGTTCAAAGATGCAAGATGAGCAAAGCCAGACTCACATGTCATCTCCAAGAATGCCACCTCTACCCTCTCTATAGAGATTATAGAGGAACTTCACACCATCACGCTGGTGCGGAAGAAGCCTTGAATTGATCGAGGCGGGAACTTGCACAACCCTACCATCTTCCACCCCACTCGAGGAGCCTTCTCCTGGGGGTGGCCACAGTACTAAGGGTTCATAGAGCCCTTCCTTCTCCGACTGTATGAACAATCCAGCCTCGCTATCAGGGATTGTCAGATCCTCTTCTGCTACAGTTGTTTCTTCAGTGTAGTTGATTTCCACTTTCCGGCGCTTTGGCATATGCGTGTACCTATCCTCGATCTCTGCAAGATCCTCCTCAGACTTCACAACCTCACCATTGCACTTCTGCAAACCAATGCCGTGCGATAAAGGCCTCTTACAACCCAAATCCGAGGTCTCTGTAGACGCCGATTGACACTTAACGGCAATTGGTTGCTCAATATTCCGCAATGCTAGTGGTGGTGGACATGAATTAAGCCGACTTGGGGATGCACTGAAAACTGATGGCAGACGGGTTTCCGGAAAGCCATCAAGGGCGGCAAATTGTTCTCTAAGACTTGTTTTTAGAGGTTGTCGAACAACAGCAGGTTCAATCTCAATGTTTCGTTGTTGTCCAACTTTCATAGGCGATGCAGAGACAATTCGACTACTGCTTGACCGAGCGTTGTATATGTCTAGCGACTCTTTGAAAGCTTTCAGGGACATGTTTCTACAATTCTCTCATGCACTCATAACTTAAGCTGAACCTCCTCTTGATAAACCATGCCATGAACAAATCGATGTCCTTTCGTAAACCCTAATCAATTCATATCACCATGCTTTTATGTTCCGCGAGTGCTCACCTCATACCCCAACAGGTAGAAAGTCGAAAACGTTTACAAATTAGGATTCCATAGCTAGTTTAGATTTAGTCTTGCCCATGCAAGCGATTATCCGTTGAAATTGATGCAATGTCAGAAGCATAAAACTCGCTAGCCAGCCGCGAAGCAAAGCAGAGTTGTACCGAATCAACGGACCATGGATACTAGAAACTTACATGCTGCACACTCTTGGCAATTTCGAACGCTCTGAACAAAGTAACGGACAATTCTAAAGATACCCAAAACGGGCATATCATCCATTCATACAACTGCAGTTGCCAACAAGCTTCAACTCCTTCATGGCAAGTGGGCGATGAAATTCAGACGCGACCTTCACCGAACGAGAAACAGTAAACCCTCTTCCGTCCCCCAACTGCCATGCCCTAAGCTTGTCACAAAGTAAGAGAGCCAATGCCGGTCAAATGAATCTTGTCACGAGGGAGCTTGCTTGCCTTCATGGTGAAGAAGCCACCTTCTCTCTCACTCTCTCTCTCTTTTCGAGGGGGGACCCATGTGGTTGTTTGTTAGGTTTTGGTTGAGTTTTATGCTTGAATGTCTTAGTGAGAATGAGGAAGTTAGTCACTCACAAGAAGTAACGAGTTGCTGATGAGTATTAGATTGGTTATTTGAGATAAGAGATTTGGTTGTTGTGCTGCAAAATCGAGTGACTGGTTGAAACTTGTAGAGAAAAAATGTAGCAGGTGCATGAGATATGGAAGGTGGTTGTTGAGTGTTAGAAATAATGAGAAGAATTCTTAACATGTGGTGTCAAAGTAAAGAAAATTGGTGTTCCAAGAATTGATATAAAAGGATCTAGTTCTTATTACTATCTCAAGAAACCTTTGTTGTTAAAGAGAAGCATTAAATAAATAAATAAATAAATAAATACTAGGCTCTTACATTAGAAGAGGCAAGTAGTGCACATTCTTTGCTAAAAGTGTAAGCACAAGAGGCACTGGGAGTCATAAACACAACAGTAATAAAAATAAATAAATAAATAAAAGTTTTTTATAAATTCTCTTCTTTAAGGAGTTGAAGACAACGACAATATTTTAATGGAAATCAAAAAAGCAATTGATCTTTTCAACTTATATTGCTTAGATATTCTATAGCTTTTAAAAGAATATCTAATAAGCTTCTATAAAATCTAGTTGTTATTTTATAAATAAAATGATAAGATAAGAAGCACTTTAATCATATAAATACAAATTTTAAACCAATCTAGGTGATGCATTCTTTTTAATCTTATATTTATTCTAGTTTATAATTTAATAAATATTTTTTTATGTGAATCTTGGTTTTTTAGTCATTTAAATTTTTGTTTTTAATAGATTGGCAAGAATTCTTGTTTTTAACAAAGCCTTGCATTTATTTATAAAATAAGTATCTTAATTTATTTTTTAGAAATACTATTCGATCTAAAGATTTAAAGATAATCCATCTTTGAATTGATTTCTTATTTTACAACTACATTTTTTTTGAAAAAGAAACTCTTTCTTTTAAAGTATTTTAATTTTTTTAAAAGAACTTAATTTATTTGATTTTTTAATGTAACTAAAGTCTTGTCAATTTTTATGTGATATTAATATATATATATATACAAATAGAGCAAAAAAGAATAATAACAATCACATTAATAAATGTTAATTTAGTCTTAAGGTCTTAAAGACATGAATCTCAAAGAAAGAAACCTTAATACATTCTTGCATTACTTGAAAAGCCTAAAAAATCACTCATAGATGGTAATATATTGAACTATAATAGCTATTGCCATAGACAAGAAGACTAAAAAGTCTTGAAATAAGACTAAGAAATAGAAAGATATTGACAAGAATAAAGAAGGCTTCACTCTTGCATACATATATATTATCTAACTAGGAGTTATGTAGCGATGTTCTATAAGACCTCCAACATGTATTGACTTTACAAGACATGTATCTTAATTTACAAAGCAAGTTTTCTATATATGTATGATATAGTTAGCTTATTCAATAAGCTATAAAAAAGTATAATATGTGGCTAATTTATTAATCAAGTTTTTGACCTATTAATTAATTGCAAATACATATAAAATCAAGGCAACATTTATGAAACTTCTAAAAAACTTCTCTAAAAGATAATATAAAATTAATATATTTTTACATACTTATACTTAATCATATAGGTAATTATTAGAATAAACATATATGCTTGTGATATTATCTCTCTTTTTAGAGACAAATTCTACAAAGAGTAGGCATCATATGTTGAGAAAATCCAAAATATAACAAATTATGATTGCCACATATTTTAATCTTTCTCTTCTTCAAAGATCTTTGATAGGTCCTCTTAGCCATCAGTAGTATTTCTTACCAAGGCTACAAAACCACCCTCTTATTTGATCGTTGTTGAGGCCTTCATAACTTCTTTCAAATGAAACATTTGGAACATTGTTAGAAGTTGTTCCTATCTCTGATAAAATCACCTAACATTGAGAATCTCTTCTAAGGTCGTGATATCAAATACATTGTATCTTACCATCTATTCGAGGAAAGACATGTTGTTCTAAAGTATCTTCATTTCGATTATATTCTTTTATTACGTATATTCTTGCTCAAAAATGCATCAGGTACCTAGCTGTGGAAGATAAATAAAAATACAATAATAATTCTACCAAGTCTAATAGAGCCTTAAATAAACTTTGAGTAATCTCTAATAAATTGAATCAAACTTTAATCTATGAAAATAAATTTAAAAGAAGTCACAAAAGAAACATAAAAAAGTCATGATTTAATCTCAAAGAAAATTAAGAAGAAATCTTAAAGAAATATAAAAATAAAACTTTAAAGAGATAATAATAATTTTAAATAAATATTAAAAATAGAAATTCTGATGTAATCCTAATTAAAATCTTAATTGAATCTTAACCAAATTTTATGTCAAATCTTAATTGAAATCTTAATTGAACATTAGTCAAACTTGAGGTCAAATCCTAATGAAATCCTAATAAAATCCTAAATCCTAGACAAACCCTAGAAAAATTCAAGAAAAATTCTAAATCAATCTCTAAGAAAATTTTAGATCTTAAATAAATTCTTAATAAATCTTACAGTAAAATAGAACATCAACAACTAATGATCAAATTATTGATATGAACTCAAAATTTGTACACTTCTTAATATCTTAATTAGAAATAAGTTCAAGAAAGATGAAATTGATCTCACATACCAATTAAGAGAAATGCAATATAATCCAATTGGATATTAGGCGGCCTCCTACTCTAACCTAAATTCTAAACTTCTAGTGCCAATATCTTATTTTTGAACTATTGAATTGCTTTTAAATTTCATGCAAATTCTCAAAATTGAATCTAATATCCATACAAAAAAAAAAAAAAAAAAAAAAAAAAAAAAAATTACTTCAATCTAATTGATAGATTGCTGAAGATCTTTGAAACACTCTCTAATTCTCAAATTCCAATTTTTGAGATCTCAACTTACAAAAACCCTTATGCACTTTAATCTAATCATTTAATTTACTTCAAAATTTGCATATGCATTTACAACTACTACAACAACATATTATCCAAATTTCACTTGTATAAACATTGCAAAACTTAAGAAATCTTCAAATTTGTAAAAATATTTTTATTTTTTAAAATCTAAATCAATTGAAAATATTATTAATTTTGAAAATCTTTCAAAAATTCAATATTGATTCAAATGATATAAAAATAATGTCCAAAAATCTCTCCTTGAGTTTTTTTTTTTTTTTTTTTTTTTTTTTTTTTTTTCCTCAAATTTCACTTTTCAATCTACAAAAGAATTCCAAAATCACCATAGGTAAGTGGTTTTATGCTTCAGGATCTGATTTTGATCTTGTTTGACACTTGGTCCTCTTTGGATATCAATTCTTGACTTCTTGAGGTAAATTTTGATGAAATCTATTTTAAATTTTTTCCTACATATTTCTATATCATTTAATTTTCCAATCTACTTTGTTTTGCCTTATTTATGGTTCCACAAAGTAAATAGAAGCCCATTTTGCAAAGAAGTAGCATTAGTACTTTTTACTTTTGTTATCTTTTTGACTATTATCTATATTTTTAAGATAATTTTTAGAATATTTTAAAATAAGATCTTCATTATATTATTTTTTCTTCTCTATTTTATTTATTAGTCATATTATATCACAACAATGTTGTCTTGAAAGTTGTGACAATCATAATGTCTTATCCGACAAGTCAACAAAGGATAGCTCTTGAGTTGAATTTGCTAGTTGTTGCTTCTCCATCTCTTTTGTACTACAAATACACATAAGCCACAAAAAAAAGTAAAAAGGTAAAATTCTATCTTCTTTGTATCTTATTTCTTTCATAGCAAAAATTTGTTTTTTTTTCATCTTGGTTTTTATGGATGTCATCAATGAAAAGCTTCAATCTTCTTTGTTGCATTTACAAGATTCTTTGTTGGTTTTTATGTGGATTTACTAATATCATATTTTTACCAATGATTAAGATATTCTAATCTATTTTTGTACTACCTTGAATCTAAGACTTCTTTCATTTCAAATCTTTAATTATTATCCACTTCTATAGAAAGAGGTGGTATTTGTCTTCTTTTCTAAGATATTCATTGTCTTATATGTCTTAAGAAGAGATATATAGAATACAAGATTGATCATTATAGACTTTGATAGATATAATTGATAAGCAATATGATTGATTTGTTTCTAAATAGGAAAAGTTTCAAGTTAACAATACTCCAAATTATTACAAGGGCAATTAAACTTGATAATATGACAAAGTAACCACATCTTATCACCAACGTGGAATTAAGATTGTTCCTTACAATAGGCATCCGCATTGGTCTTTTATCATTCTTGAATTTTTTTTAAATATGCCTTTATGTTAAGGATATGAACTAAAAACTGATGCATAAATCAATGAAATCCGTGTCTAAGAAAAAGTGAAAAAATAAAAATAAAGAAGTACATATATTAAAAGAAACTAGAAAGGCTTATTGCCAAAAGACAAGAAAATTTGACACTCTTGAAAATAGACTAGAAGCAAGAAAGGAGTTGATAAGAGTAAAGAAGGCTTCACTCTTATTTCTATATTCTATCTAATTAGGGCCTATGTGGCAATGTTCTATAGGACCTCCAATATATATTGACTTTGTATGACACATGCCTTGACTTACAAGGCAACGTATTTTATGTGTGGATCACATAGTTAGCTTGGTCTTCAAACTAACAACATGTGTGGCACATGGCCAACTTGTTGACCACGTTTTTAATCCAAAAAGTTAATTAAAGACACCTATATAGTCAAAACAACATCTATAGAGCTTTGAGGAAGCTTCCATAGAAGATATTATAGAATTAACTTGCTTTTACTTACTTCTACTTACTTCTATCTATTTATACAAGTAATTACTGACTTACATGCATATGTCTATTGTCGTGTTGTGGTTTGGCTACTATATGAAAATAATGTAATTATGTACTTAATATATAATTTACTAA